CATCTGGGTCTTTTTCCATCTTTCTCTCTTTCTGGGGCCACTCTAGCGTATTGAGGCTGCCGTTTAGATTTGACACTTAATCTAATCAGAAAGCATTCTAAGCTATGGAGTGTAATTTTTTTCAACATGGGTCTTCTTCCTGCTATCTTCTGTCATATTTTGCAGCCTTTCCGTACAGAAGGGATGACTCTGTTTTCAGTTTCAGGTTGTCTGTGAATCTTTTCTGGTCCTTCCTTTGATTATTTTCCGTATTCACTGTAATCCTAACCCGATTAAGGGGGCCGGGGAAGTGATTTGCAACATGATTGAAATGTTTACTTCACAAACCACAAAGAAACAGAAGAAAAAGTGAGATAGCCTTCATTTCTGTGCCATGGCATTTAGCAAAGAGGCAGGCATGACAGTGACTTACAAGACAATTAGGCCCAATACCTTTACAGACCTATAATTTAAAGGAAGTACAAAGAAGCCATAATGAGACTGACTGATCTATTGTCTTATTTCAGTATTTAGGCTTTGGGGTTGGCAGCACTTTCATTATATTTCCAAAATAGCTATAGTAGTTTAGCTTAAATCTTCAATTTAGAAAAAAAAAAAAAGGAGGTGGTTGCTTTAAGGGAAAGGCTGAACCAACTTCTAAAATCCCATTGCTGAGGAATAGGTTTTGATTTTTCACTCTTAAACTGTACAGAACGCGAATATAGATTGTTAGTGGATTGTGCAATGTAGATCGTGTAGTGGGAAGAACCAAAGCCCGAGAATACCTGAGTAGACCTGGTTAGGATCTTTTTTATGACATTTTATTTTGTCTAAAAATGCTGTTTCTTTGAAAGCTGAGTTTCATCAGTCTCTGTTGTTGACCCCTCGCACTCTATATCAGTGGCTCCCAACCTTTTTTTGCAATGACCTTAAATCTGGGTTGTGACGCCCACCTTCGCCCCCAACTCACTTATGCCCGGTGGTGCCAGCAGAGCCTGAGCCGAGCTGGGATCACGGGGGGTAGCGGCAGCGAGACCCCCACAGACTGTGTGCCAGGAAGGATGGAGCAAGGAGCAGACCCCCTGCAACCCTGATTTGGGTCGTGCATCGAGGTTGGGAGCCACTGCTTTATATGAAGGTTATTAGGGCACAGGCGTGGGTGTGGAGGACCTAAGTTTTAGTCCTTGCTCTACTTGATTCACAGTGGGTAACCCTGAATCAGCCCTTTCTCCTGCCTTTCAGGCTCTTACTCCCAGTCTCATTTTCATTAGCCTGTTTTTGCAAAAAGGCTTTAAAATATTTTGTTTTAGCTCCAATAAAGGGCAGAACATGGTTTCCATGTGGCTTGAAAGCTATCAACCTCATTCAGTTAATTAACCAAGTCTGATTTGAACTCTGGCCTCAGTCCTGGGCTCTGCTCCAGTCACTTTGTGCTGGTGGGAAAACACCAGCTGAAATCGAGCAGATTCGGCCACTGGCTTGTCCTCTCTGCATAGCTGAATTCTCAGAAAGGGAAGAGGTACCATGGTGCCTATCCTACTTGCCCTCCTCCTCCTTTTGTGGATGTTGATATAGTCAGCTTGACTAAGAGAAGAGGCTGCAACCAGGCTCCCCTTGAACCCCAGACTGCTGCAGTGGTGTTGAAACCTGATGGTTGCTTTAACCTGGCCTTGCAATCCAGGCCAGGATGCAGCTTGCCCAGGACGGGGGGGTTTTGAAGAGCATCTTTCCAGGCCCTGCACAAAGCATTCCCTCAGTTTGTCTTGGGGTTTGTGTGTTAATTCACTCCTTTAAAAAAACCACACACACAAAAAACCACCTATTTGCCTGCTTCAAATACAACCCAACCTGCCTCGTCCTTCATTTTGTCAAAATCGAGTTGAATCTGCAGATCCCGAGGTGATTTTCTTTTTGGATACGTTTGAACGTAATTCTTCATTTAACGTTGACATATTCAGCCGGTAACAGCAGCAAAACGGCTCCATCTGTGTGTGAGATGAGACTTGGCTAAGAAAAGCCCAGATTGGAACCTCAGCATTGTCGTGTAATTCTGTAGGGTTAAGATAAGCATTTGCTGGAGCACTGCTTAGCATACAGCACTTAGAGTACAGTACCTTGTTTAATTAGGGGATAAGTAGTTCTTAAATATTTCCCCACTGTCTGTGACTGCTGTTTCTTTTTTGAAAGCTTGTAACCTACATCTGTGAAATCCCATTGTTAATGGTTCTAATTGCAGAATCCAAACATGTTTGGAAATAACCGACAACAATGGTCTATAATGGGATGACTTGCAGCCTGGATAACCTCAGCTCTGAGCCCGGAGAGCGCTGGAATAATCTCTAAACCTTAGAAAGGGTGATCGCTCCCAACCGGATTGTAGATGGCTGTTGGAAAGATTTAGAGCAGGAGCATGGGGGGTACACAACAGCTTTTTGGCTTTGCTTCTAGTGATACCAGGACTTAATTCAGGTCCCGCTGAAGTCAGAAGACTCCAACAGACTTGGTGCAAGGTGAATTGGGATCTTAGTGATAAAGTGTCTCCAGAGCCAGAACACAGTGATTGTTAGAATAGCACTTTCTTAGTTAACAGTAAGAGCAGTAACTTAACTTAACAATTCTCCTCTTTGAGTCTTTGAGAAGTATCTGCTTAGTTTCCTGACTCTTTAGATATAGGTATCTTGAAAAGCTGAGTTTCAACAGTCTCTGTTGTTGACCCCTTGCGCTCTATATCAGCGGCTCCCAACCTTTTTCTGCTGCGACCCTAAATCTGGGTCACGACCCCCACCCCTGCCGCTGACTCGCTCACGCCCAGCAGCTATATAGTTATAGCTATACATAGATGGATATACAGCTGACCCTTGCCATTCGCGGGGGATACGTTTTAGAGATCCCCACACATGGGGAAATCTGCGAATACTGTGCTGTACCCATAAACGGGCTGGATCCTCACTGCACTATCATTTGCTTTCTTTTTTTAGGTGCCAGGATTAAAGGTATGGATTAATACTGAAATACAGTACTGCAACGTACTGAATGTAGAAGTATCACCAGAGCGCAGTAACAGTGTCATCATGCTACGCGGGGAGAGAGCATGGGTTGGTGTGGCGCACCGTGAATATTTGAAACTGCAAATCGCAAATCCGTGAATGTCAAGGGCCTCCTGTATATCAACCTCATATAAAATATAATTTTTTACTCTTCTTAGCTCTTCAGAAATTCCTGCTTCAGATTATTAAGTTGGATAATACTTTGTCTCCAGCATCATCAACAAAATTGTTTATTCGGTTCTGCTTACAGAATCTTTATTGATGACTACCGATGGAGGCGGCAAAAATAATGCAGTTGTAATGTTCAGATCTTAGG